GCTGACAGCAGGCAAAAGCATCCATTCTGTGCTGTGCCAAATCCCCCTCCTGTCCCTCTCAGGCTTTTCCTTCAACTTCTCCGTGTTTCCTCAGAGCGCACAGCCACGTCCCAAACACTCAGCAAGGCAAGAGCAGGATCTCCCTCATGGCCCTGCCTGCCTCCTCGGGTCTCCAACCCCAGAACCTCACACCAGGAGTCACCAACACGGCACACACGCAGCAAGCAGGGCTCCAGCCACTGACACGTACTGCTTGGATGAGTCTTGGAGACTCTCTTTTATTTTCCTGGTCAGAGTGATGTGTGCATGTGACAGCAGCAGCACAACACATACAGCACAGACAGGGATCCACCACTTGGGCCCCTATTTCCTCCCCCCAGGCAGTCTCCAGTAGGGGAAAGAAAGCACAGAAAGAGAAAGCAGCTGCCAAGGGGTTACAAAACCTCTTTGGTCCCATTAGCTTAAGGCCCCCAGCCCTTGTCTTTTCTGTCAGCAAAGCGTAGGCAAATCAAGCAGCAAGGGTGAGGTGAAACAAGGTCCTGTGAGTGGAGGGAGGGGAGGAAGCAGAAGGCAGAGGAGCAGGAGGCGCAGTGTATTCACACCATCACTGTGCTGCACGAGCCCTGTGCCAGCAGGTGAGGAGGGACAGGGATGTCCCAGGTCCAGCTACAGCACAAACCCCTCCCGGCAGCGCCTGCAGGGTTATGAGTTTTGCAGCACTTGCTCTGCTCCAGTTTGTCTGGGAACGCACAGGCTCTGTTAACCAAGGTAAGGCATTACATCATGGCAAGGTATCATTGCTATAGTTTAAGAGATATAAATAAAGCCCAGGTCTGACCAGGGCGAGCGTAGGCACAGCACCCCAGGCAGAGGCAGCGTGTGACTTCTCTGAGAGCCAGCGCTGCCCCGTAGCCCAGTGGCTGTGTAGCTTACAGCAAGAAGAGGTTTCTTCAGGTCAAGGCACTCCAGGAGTCGCTGCCTGTGGCGGCAGAGCACCATGCACAGTCCCACGGCCAATGTAAACCAAACACCCCAACACAGCTATTTTCTACCTTCGGTCTTTGGTAAGTGCTAACATCAGCATCGCCCTGTGCTAGCACAGAACTGCAGGAACAGGGCAGCCAGAGCACCCCTTCCTCAGGGCAAGGCAGCCTGAGACCCCTGGACAGAGCCTCCTGTCTCCAGCTTTGGGATTTTACTTGTTGGAGAAGATGCTGCCTTAGTTCAGAGCAGGTTCACCCCGTGCTTCAGCAGCTTTTGCTTGGCCTTGCTTGGCAAGCTGAACGCGCTGTCGTGAGGGTTGGGAACACCCGAGTTGCGGAGTGGAGCACCCAGCTGCTGGAAGTAGGTTTCGTGGACGGGGTTCCTGCAGGCGTACACGGCCGTGGAGGCGTTCCTGGCAGGACAAGGAGAAGCAGTGGTCAGGATTGAGAGCTTGGTGCAAGATCCCCTTCACTAACCGGGCTGGGCATTGGGATGCTTACAGTGCTGGATTCCCTGCTATTGAGAAGGAGTTTTAGGCCTCACTCTCAGCAGAGCAAAGGGACACAGAGCTAAAGTGGGCACCAAAACCCTGCAGAAGGTCCCAGGGAACCAGACCCTCCTTCTCAAGGGTCCTGGCATCCTAAAAGTGAAAGCCTCATACATCTCACCCTCGGGACCTGCTCAGCAGCATTAACACCTCTGCATGTGGCCATCCTCCGAGAGCCTCCCCTGCTGGCAGAGCAGCCCAGCGCACCAAGAGCTGGTGGTTAAACACTCCCCGTGTCCAACGTCCCATCCTTCCCAGAGGAACCTGCCCCACTGCTGCTGTCCACAGCAAATCCCAGCACAGCACCTTTGCAGCAGGAGCCACATGAGGTTATCTGGTCACCAACATAGCAAATAATCAGGTACTGCAACCACGAAAGCTGAAGCTGTTGATTAAAAACCACCACTCGGTATTTACCTGCAAGGACTGGCAGGGAGCAAAGCAAAGGACTCTGCATTCCTCCTCGACAGAGGAAAGCAGCAACTGATATGTTTGCTGACACCCTGCTGTGACAGCTCTCCATAAAATAAAGCAGTTTTAGTCATCTTGTTACTCAGGCTGATTCACACACGGAGTTGCTTTTTTTGGGGGCACCACAGAATACGCCAGCTAAGGCGGTAGAGAATTTAAGGAGCCAGTCAAAGTAATGCTAAACAAGGAGTGCTCCAGCACCCAAGTGTATGATTCAACACTCCCTTGGCAAGCTGTGGCAGAGAAGTGAAACAGTGGAATTCCCAGAAGCATCTTTATTTCACCGTGTTTTGGGCAAACAAGCAGGGCCAGGCCAGCAGAGTCTCTGTGTCCTCGCCGTGAGCCGCTGCAGGGCCGGGGGCAGCGCTGCAGCACAGGACCAGCTGCAGACACGGCTGCGATAAGACCATCTCGCCTGGCGCATTACAATTGAGTTTGCCACGCACGTTACAGCGCGTTTCCAACCCGACAAGCCGTGCAAGAAAACAAAATCTAGGTTGCCAATTCTGGGCGCCTTTGGCTCCCAGCCGAGACACAAATTTATTAGGAACGGCTATATTTAAAACTGCGTCTTAGAACCTTATGGTGCCAGGAACTGGCAATATTTTAGCGTTGTGTCTTAATCCAAGCCCGTGGCACAACTCAGCTGTGCCTTGGTGCCACCGTAGCCTCTCAACACCCAAATCACGCTGCAGGCAGGACACCAAGTAACCCACATCTAAAGGGCAAACCTTAGGGCATAAGGTGACGTGACTGACCCTTGGCAAGAGACACCAGTGTGATTACACCACCTGCCAAACCTCAGCCAGCTTTAGGAAAGGGGTTCCCCCCTTTCTGCCTATTCTGTGTGCCACACAGCACTCCTGGGCCCAGCAGAGGAGGGAGTGATAAGCACACCTTACCTAATTATCACCTCTGAAGCAGCCGGGAGCTGGTTGAAGTCGGAGTGGATCAGCGTAACAGCTCTCAGGAAGTGCCGGTCCAGGGGGCCGAGCGTGTGGGGCAGGTTGGCTGCAGAACAGGAGTAAGAGGTGTGTGTTAAAAGGAAGAAGTGTGAGGAGCGTGCCCCCCTTTACTGAGTGGGAAAAGGCTGTGCACCTCCCCAACAGACCCTGGGTAACAGAGACTGGGTGACGCTCTGGGTGTCAAGAAGGCCTGAGAACTGGGTTACCCAGAGTCACTTTCCCTAAAGCTCTTCTGAGCTGCAAAGAGCCAGGACACTGCCTGTGAGGCTGCCAGGAAAAGGGAAGCATTGCAATGAACTGCAGCAATGTGTGCAGAGGGCCTTCTGGTCTACCCATTGATCCAGGGCAGTGGTCTCCAAACTGCTGGCTACTACCTGCTCCCAGTTTGTGTAGCCAAAAATTACTGACACACACCATTGTACAGAGGGACAAAAGGCACCCAACAAAAGGGAGGTTGGATTTGAAGAGGATGCCAAGTCCTGTCCTTGGACCTAGCCCTTAGCAGAACCCCAAGCACCACCTTTCTGAGCAAAGCACCAGTGGCAGCAGCTCCATCTTCTCAGGCTCTCATCCAAACCAAGTGATCCACAAGCAGATTATAAACTCACAAAAGACAAAGCTTCCTCAATAGGGCCTTATATCCAGGCTATTTGCTAAGTGTTACAGCAAGTAATGCTTCTGAGAAGTTGTCTGAAGCGTGAGAAAAGGTTACCATGAACCCTGCTCCCCTCCTCCCTCCCTCTGATCCAGAGACATGGGCTTACCCGTGAGCACATTCTGAACGCAGTCATAGTGAGTGAAGCTGTAGGTTGTCCTGGCTGAGGATGAGGAGTCTTTGGGCAGGGTCTCCCTCAGATGAACCTCGAGGCCGTTGAGAGAAGCCAGGCTGCTGTGGTACTGTGGACACAGCAAATAAAGGCATGGGTTAGAGCAGAAGCCCTCTAACCTGAAAATAAGCCATTAAACCACCTGATGCTATTAATTACAGGAAAACACAAGCCTCCATTAATTTACCATCAAACATTACTCTCCAGACCTTGTTTTCACATCCTGGCCATGGCTTTTAGCTGCAGCAAGGAATATTCCTTTGCTTGCCAGCCCTTACCTTACCAGTATGACACAGGATGCAGCTTTACAGGCTGGGTTTAACTGCCTGCAGCATCTCCATCTCAACACAAATAAAACCAATGGGCATCCAGGCTCTGCTCCCAGCTTCTGCCCAGCTGCAGGCAGGGCACAGGCAGATTAACTCCATAATCCTCCAGCCTCCCGTCTGCTTTCCCATG